ACCTTTGCATTTCATGTTTTTTTATTTTGCTGTTTCTAAAATATCACTTCTTTCATTATTTTAATATTGCATAGAAAGCTAAGTATTGTCTTGAAAGCAGCACTCCTAGTGTATATAGAGGATATAAAAAGATTTCTCAACAAAATTGACCTCTCAGTGGCAAAGAAAATTGCAGTGGAAGACACATTATTGCGAAGTCCTATCAGAGTCTTGGATCTGTGGAGAGTCTCACTCCACTGTCCTCCAGCTTTTCCTTATAAACCAAAATGGCTTACAAATGTCATCCACAATAGTCCAATAAAGATTAGGAACAAAACACTGTCCTTACATTGATGAGATAAGAAAGATTTAACTGCAGAAGGCAGTGTATAAGAACAGTTCATGAGGTTTGCTCTCGAATCAGAAAACTAGAATTCAAATTACATTTGTGTGTGTCTAGAATTTAATAGAGATGATCAGTTTATTTTCTATGTAATGTTTGGTCAGATGCCTGTACTATGGAGCTAGGTAAAAAGAAAAGAAGGAAAATAAATTCTTTCAGGGAAATCAAGAAGACCTGTTATCTGCAGGGTGTGCAAAAATACATCGGGAAATAATTCTACGCTGAGTGCTGAAAATGCCCAGTTAATAAAAAAAGATCAGCTACTCGCTAACAGAAAATAATTGTCTGTATCTATATTTTTCAAAGCAAAAAGGCAGTCATATCTTACACTAAATAGGACACATTAAAATAAGCTTTAATAATCTTTATGCAGAAGGAAACTAATCCATTTTCAGATCATATGATCCACAGCAATAAAAGGAAATCATCAAACTAAAAACAATTTTAGAAATGGCTGCAGACTCTCATTTAATTAACATGCAACAGATCATATATTTATGAGGAAGTCAAAATATTTAGGAAGCCTATAATCCTGTAAGCCTTAATGTGGTATAAAAACAACAAATAAATGCAAAGTGTTACTGTTACACATGCCTGCCTGATCAATGGTTTTCACATATTGATCTATAAATGGAGTTGACAGTCTGTGTTGGCTGCACATTTTCCAAGCAGCGCTATTTTTGCACAAAACCAATACGGGCAATTACCTTTGTTTGAGATGCCAAGTCTTATCAATTCAATGTGATTTAGTGTCATTTTAATTAAATATCAGGATCCACTTCAGGACAATTTATACAAACAAAGCCTCAAACCTAACTATAAGCTTGATTTGAAGTAAACATGGACAAGCTCTACAATCTCATAATATTTCTCAAAAACTCTGCTAAACAGAAGGCTTATATTTTTAGTAGCAATTTTTATGTCTGCCTTTTTGGCTAGCCACAACTTTGGCAAGTATCCTATAATCACAGAAGTAAAAAACAAAAGAAAATTGTTTCCTCTTTTTCCTGATAGTATATTAAAAAGAAAAATGAACAAACACAGTCTGTTAATGGAAGTAAATGGAGTCTTGTATGTTAACATTTAGGAATGGCTCGACCTAAGTCTTTATCTGAACACCAATAAAAAGATATTTTGCTGTTCATGATGGCCATGAATGAAGTAATGCCTTTCTGTGGCATTTACAAGATGGAAATGGTGAATATTCATACATGTTGCTGCTTAAGACAACAGCATTAAATGCTGAAACTGCTCCTGCCTGCAAATCCTATGTTTGCAGTTTCCTGATTTGGGCTATTTAAACTCTTCATTAATATCTATTCCGAACTGTCTAGTAGGCTGCAGCAGCCCTCTTATAAACAACATCAAAGCCATATTAAACCCTTTGCATTAGCTGTAAGGCTGGATTGCACATTGGCCTTTTAGCTCTTTACTAGGCACACTTCACATGTCCCCCTTTCCTCACACTCAGCCATCTGATTTTCTGTTTAGCACATTCTGGTAAATAAGCCATCCACTTTCAAGAGATCGCGCTGTGGTGCTCAGGATGAAACAAGAAATCACTGAGATCAAAGAGCGTTCCTTCCCCACAAGTGGAGCTCTCCAGATCTCTTACACATAGGCAATTTTTTTGCAAACCACATACTCCTACTCCAGAATTCCCACCTCTTCAACATTTACCAGGTAGTAAAATAGCCTATTTGAATTTTAAAAAGTCATTGATTTTATTAATCAAGTAAAAATGGTATTTTGGTATTTAATGAAAATGATGCACACCACCAATAGAATACTAATGAAGCTTTGATACCTGTTTTACTGAAATGTTGCTTCCCTGCAACATTTAGGTCACCAGAGTTTCTAATTTAACAAGTAAATTCACCCATGTTTGCATAGCTTAGGATTAAATAAATGTTTATACTGGCAATTCAAAATATTCCTCAACTTAAGATACTAAGAATAGAGGCTCTTATGACCTATATAGGAGAGAATTTTATATTGTATTCTAAATTCACAGTCATATTAAAAATATTTTTCATTGAACAAAATTTTTAAAAAGAGTTTATGAATTAATAACAAAATTATATAATCTTTTTGACTCTAGAACATTTTATCATTTTCACAATAAATTAAATCATTATGAATATAATATCAAATTCTTATGTTATCGTATAGTCCAGTTAAGTCCATATTAGATTTGCATAATTGTTAGACTAGTGAACAAGTACTATGTATAGGACACAGGTTTCTAACATATGTATAATCTCTAAGTATTCTTAATTTTTTCTGTTCTGAATCCAAGTATGTGTCTCTGGTACAACAAACCATGCTTCGCGTGAACATGTGCACACATTTTTAGTGTACGTTTCTTCCCACTCTTCCTAAAGTCAAAGTCTCCCCCTTGACCTCACCCCACCATCCAACTTCTGAAAAATCGAGTTCTTAGTTTAGCTTCAGCAGATAACTTTAACAGGCTTGTTTGAATAAATATGCCAAAATACTTTACATTCTGTCAGTATCTAGTCAGAAAATTGTGCATGGAAAAAAGAGATGAAAAGAACTGAGACAGAAAGAAAATTAGTGCCATGGCAAGCTTTCAATACAGTGTCTCTGAGCCAAGTTTTCTCGGTGAAATGACATATCCTCACTAAAATACCCCTTTTATATAATTATGCACTAAGCACACATAACCAAAAGTTACTTTTATTTTTGTTCCTTATCGAGGAATACATATTGCTCAGGCTAAGAATGCGGAAACAAAAGCTGGGATAATTATAACTAATTTAACTTTGGAAAACTCTTATTCTCTAGCAGTCCAGCATACAATCCCCCCAACTAAAGTTATGTAACAAGGTAATATCAACAATGAGAAACTGCATGATAAAATCCTGCCCAAAAGTGAAAAATGCTAATTTTGTCTCATTTAGCAGCTGGATACAGAAATGCTCATTAGTTTTAAGAGGGTTAATCCTTTTAACTTTTGCATATTGATATGCCAATTATGCCTAATTGTACAAGAGGCATCAGTCAAGGTAATAGTGCATAAACACATGAAAGTTATTAAGTACATCCCAACATGTAATAAAGTAGGTGTTAATTGGTAGCTGAGTTCTGCGGGCTATTGAGGTGGATAATTCATTGAGAGATAGATCACTTGTAATTTCTCTCCATAATTCCTTTTGCAGTCTCATGCTGTGATGTTTTCATGCTTGTCAAAAACAACTGCGGCATAGTGCCTTTTGTTAAACACAGCCAATAAAATATGTTAGGCATCATTAAATATACTTAACTTTTAAACTTTTTCAAAGGTACTGTTCTTAGTGATAATACATTATAGAGATTTCAATGATTTACTCTAACCACTGTCTCAAGTTCATAGTTGAGGAACATTTTAACTGGTTTAAAAGCAAGTCAGGCTAGCAGTGTTGTGCCTCCCAGCAGACAATACTTTTAAATGAGAAAGCAAATAAAGGAAAATGCGTTTCTCATTAGTTACCTTATCTAAGGATGTATTTCTCATTCCCCAAATACAATCACTGGCTTCTTCATGCTAAATTTGTCTACAACACCTGAGGAAAGAACAATTAAAATCATATATTTCTCAAGCTCCTGAGATTGCTGTGGGTTAATTTTGCACTTGAAATTCGAGTGAAAAATGGGAAATAAGTATAATTGGTAACATGCTACTCAGCAAGTTTATCTCATTTAATAACTCAGTTAGGAAGCTGAATATTTCATAGGTCCCTATGATATTCAAAGAACACTCAATTAATAGCTGACATGTTTCTACAGGGTGACTGGGACTCACAGCCTGTCCCCAGCTAACCTATTTCTCGCTCTTGCTCTCACTGTGAGAAACAAAATAGATCTGGGGTCCAAAAGAGTGGCTAACATTGCATAAATAATTTTGAAACATCCTATGGCCTCAGCTGCAAGTTACCACCATTATGGAAGAAAATTAACCAGAGGAGACTCATCGCAATCAGTGGGTTTAGTGGCTCAGGATGCGTGCAGGGCCAGGGACACAATTGGCAGTAGAGTTCATCTCTAACTATTTTATTTCAAATCTTCCTAATGACACATTATCGAGACAAAATGGCTTCCTCTTCAAACCTTAAATAGCCACACCATTTCAATTGTTTAATCTCGTGCCAAATCAAGTAGTAATTTCCAGTATCATATATTATGGGGAGATTTTTAAGGAAGAAATTTTCACAATTTTTTTTAAAGATTTTTTTTTTCTCAGTTCATTCTTAGCTAATTTTAGCCTCTGGCTTTTCAAAGTGATGTACTGTATTTGGAAGTACAAACACCGCATGCTAGCATAACCTCATTATTTTTATGACACTGAAGCATGATAGTAGAGGCCCTTAAAATGAGTCAAAGGTGCTCTTCAGTTTAGCTCCAAATCCACTTTATCACTCTGGATTAAGCCCAGCTCTTCTCTTGCAACTGGGGATATTATTATGACTATAAGTAGGCAAGATAAAATGCATTGCAAAAACAGTTTTCTCATGCACATTAGGAAAACAAATAAAACGAGGCTAATTAGCTTTTTTTTTTTCTTTTTACAAAATTCTGTATGATAGAGAACTTGGGATATTCAGGGTATTTGACTTACAGGTTCAGTGACCTTCCCAACATCGGTGAGGATCATGGATTTACTTTGGCTCAGCCTGTCGTGGTGGCTGTTGGCATTTTTGATTCTCATTTGCACAGCTCCTGTGCCTTGGCGGGTGGAATTCAGTGTTTCCACAGAGCTATCAGAATTTGTAGATTTCTGCATATTACAGTGTTATCCTGATAAAATATAAAAGCATTATGTTATTCTAAATTTATACTTTTCTGTGAAAAACTATTGATAGAATGCATGCCCCTATTAATCATTAGTATATTAAAATTAAATGAATTTTTAAAAGAGTCTTTACCTCTCCAAGTAGTGAAAAATTACTTTGTAATTACTTTGTAGTTATTTTATCAGTGGAGACCTCTATATGTAAAAAGACTATACATGTGAGAGGACAGCAGAAGTTCCTAGGCAACACACCCATAGTCTGTGTAGTTCCTAATTACATTAAGAAATTCCTAACAGCAATATGATACAGTCTTCCTTATATAGAAATGATGTTGCCAACTAATCATCTTTAGGGTATATGCCTTTTTCATTCACAACTTCACTGACTTATCACCCACTCGACTCTCCCTCACTACCACCAGCACTCTTTTGGTGAACAAAAATCTATATGAAAGAGGTCAAATTTGAGTGAGTAGAATTTGTGTCAGAGCAAAACAAACAGAACCCACAGCCCCCACCTCCACTCACAATATCCACAGGGGGAGATTAAAATTCCTTCATCCACTGCCATCTGCCAACTGAACTAGAATTGTTAGCTGAGTTGGACATAATATTTGTGAAGAATATGAAAAAAAAATCAACACCATTTATTTATATATTTCTTAATAGAAGGAATCTGATTTGGACAAGAAAATTCAGCGTGGGCACACTTTAAAGGAGCAGCAGTGAGAAAAAAAATAATTTGGACCAAAAAAATAAAGAGGACTAAACTCTGGCAGCATCCCATGGTGGACTGGGAGAGAGTTAGCTGCTTCCCCAAATTCATAATCCTCTTCAACTGCCCCTCCCCTAAAGTCCCTCAAATCAACATATTAGCTCATAAAAAATAGAATATTTGCAATACAAACACAGCTTCTAAACTTCTAGAAGCAGACCCCCTTGGAGCCTGATTGTTGCCTCCAAGTCCTACCTATATAGACATTCCACCGTAGGTACTAGGCACATACAAAATTGGACAAAATTATGACAAGTCACAGAAGCCAATACAACCTGAAAGAGCAACCTGTATAGTTGTTCTGTACAGAGCCAACTGTATAGTTATTCCTGTTTGCTGGATAGACAACAATGGGGCTAAAATCATTGCAGAGGTTAAGCTAGGTGGTCGCTAAAATGAATAGGTAAAAACGTATTTTGATAGAAGGAAAAGTTTTACTACATAATTAATACTAATAAGGCTATTGAAAGACAAATTAGAAAAGAATTTAATATTGATTATTTACTATGTGCTAAGCAATGTGCTCAGTGGTTTAATCCTTACAAAACTCTTATGAAATAGACATTAATCCCATATTTTTATAGAGAAAAATGAGGATAAAAGAGACTAATAGTTTTCCCAATGACACTGGCAGAAAGAGGTGGAGGAGCATGTATTTTATTCCAAAAAGGAGACCCAGATCCATTAACATAAATAGATAGACAAATTCCAGTTTATTTACACAATGAAAACAGTCAACAATAAGAAGAAATAGACTACTGATATACACAACCACGTGGATGAATTGCAAATTCATTCTGCTCAGTGAAAGAAGCCAGTACCAAAAAACAAAAGAATACTTATTTTATGTTTTCACTTATGTAATATTCTAAAAAATGAAAACTAACATACAGTGACAGAAAGCTGATCAGTGATTGCTCATAGGGAAAGGATTAAGGCAAAGATGTGTTATACAAAATACAAGGAAACTTCTCAGGTGATGAATATGCTTGTTATCTTGATTTTGGTGATGTTTCACCAGTGTATACATACAAGGATACTTCAAAAAGTTTAAAGAAAGATAGGTACGTCAAAAAGTTTGTGGAAAAATACAATTGAAAGATAATACGGATCTTTCACTAACTTTTTGAAGTACCCTCGTATATTAAAAATGAAGAAATTTATTTTAAATACTTACAATTTATGGTACTTCACTTATAACTCACAAAGTTGTTTACAAGAAAATCATTTTAGAAATTCCTTAGCCAATTTATTTTGCTCTTATTTCACTTTTATGTGCCTACATGAGTGATGTTTTATAAAACATTATGTAATTGATGATAAAAGAGCTCTTTTAATAAGTATAAAATCAAAATTTGAAGTAAAAAAAAAGCTTTTATTTTACTAGAAAGATCTTTTTTAGAAAAAAATCAGCATTCTCTTCTGAGTGCATTCAAGTCTTGCTCTTCTAAGGCTGATATGTTTGTAATATTGGTGAGAGGACTCACTCAGGCTGAAGCCACTATCTTCTGACCGAGAGCATAAAGCTGTGTATCTATACAGCCCAGCCATGTGCCATTTACAGGACATGTTGCTTCCTCAGAGTTTGCACACATTTCAGTGTCAAATCAACATTTGCATTGATTTCACAATCAACCCATAATTTGCCTAGTGATGTGTTACTGCAGTCAGGAGGCTGGATTACTTAAAAAGCCTCTTCTCTTGCTTCCCCACTTCTGTTTTCTTGGGGACAGGCTGCAGAAACCATTTTCGAGATCTTCTTTTTTCAGATCTTTCTGTCAGGCAGATCTCTCTCTCCTCCACGGTGCTGATGTGACGTCTCCTAATGTGCTCACTTGCTTTCTCCTCGGGCCACCTCCTCTTTGTCCTTCTGATCCCACCCTCGTGGTGTGATCCCCTTCTGCAGGCTGCTTGTTCTCTTCACTCAACTTCCCAGCTACTTTGTTCTACAATGTCACTCACTGGATACTAGTTCATAATTGTTCTCATATTTTCCAATATTTGGGGGATTCTAATTTTGCAGAGCACTATATTGCTCTGAGGAGAATACCGAAAAATGACACAAGACCTCTTCTTAAAGAATTATTTCTCATTTAATGAAATTTTCCTAATTTGGCAGCAAGCACAGTCTTAGAAACTGGAGGTAATATTTTTTCTTTTTTTTAACAAGTGCCCTAGAATTTGGTGATGACAATAGAGAAATAAATCAACAATTAAATGAGAATGAGGTTGTGCCCAGGTGGGGAGAGAGAAAGTGCGCAGGAGAAGGTCAGCCTCCACGCATCACAGGCAAAGAGCTCAGCAATACTGAGGAATGTAAAGACCTGTGTCATTACAAGGTGGGTAGGGAAGTGTGTCATGAAGGGAGAATAAAGTACCAGAGAAGTTCAGGGAAAAGGAAATGATGTATTTCATGGAGTAGGTGGCATCTGACCTCTGTGTGGTGAGTCTGATCATCCTCCTGGCTCTTCTCTGGCTGAATGATTACCTGAGAGCCCCATCCCTTCTGACCCATCCAGTGTTATAAGTGGCTGGTATTCTAGACACTTCGAGCTAAGTGAATGTGTGACGAGAGATTTCCTTGATGTACGTAATACACAAATGTCTTCTGTGCATGATTTGAGAGTTGAGACAAATTGAGAAGGGAGCAGGACCAGCTGCAGGACAAAGGGAGGTGCAGGAGGGTGGAGGCAGAAAGAAGAAGGGTGGAAATCTGACAGGACTGAAAGGACAGCTGTACCCGTGGCTGTGGAACTTGTAAGTTCACAGATGAGTTGTTCTCATTCATCCTGTTAGGAGCCCCTCATACCAAGCAGATCAGGCTGTTTCCAGGCCACATTATGGAATTCCTATTAGGGTCCCATTTACAGCCCTTTCTTTATCTTTTTTCCACTTCCCATTTTCCTCTTGCCTGCATCTTAACACTCTTTTTTCCTCTACCAGGAACCTTATAATTCTTTTCCTATTTTGGCTGCCAAATCCCTCACTGCAGTCTCCACTCAGGCCTCATCTCATCTAAAGAGTCAGAATTTCTGAAATTTCCATCATCCATTCTTCCTTATATACGTCCTTTAAAACCACCCATTTTCTCAGTGAATCTCTTAGATGTACATGGGAGGGGGGTGATTAGACTAATTAACATAATGTTATAAATGATGAGTCAGACTTCCCTCTTAACTCTCAAGAAAGCATTTACCTGAATCTCAAACTGGAACTCTTCTGACTACATGGGAGAAATATCTTAGAGTAGAAAAGTATTGATCAGTGTACTCTGTTTATGCCCTAAAGTAAATTCAGGGGAGGTAGCATTTGTGACTGGGGACAGGAGATATACACTGCATTCTAGCAAATGGTGCCTCCTGGAGTTGTGAGATGTGATGGCTCTGCCATGGTGGCCTTATTTTTGAGGCTTTGTGACATAAGGCTCCAGGGGAACAAACTCCATTGCAAAGTCTGCTCAACCTCTAGTCAAAAGAAACCCTCACACCCCAGGGTCCATTCTGTCTTGGCTCCCAGCACCAAGGAATGGCTGTGCTTCCAGGCACATTGTACCAGTTTCAAAGTGTACTCCAAAAGGAAACAAAGGGCTTCAATTTCATGAGTATTTCTGCATTATTATTCCAGGATTATTCACAGGGATCTTAAATCATATTCTGTTGTTCCACCCATGTTCTTATTCCTCATTGACCCTAAACTTTCTAGATTTAGTAGACTGTAAAATCAATAGTATTTGTTTACTCTTATTTCTATGTAACATCAGGCATGTTTGGCTACATGTCATATTAACATTAAGTTTTATTTGCTCTACATGCCTGTTCCATATTTCCCTTGTTCTTCTTAAAACATGTCATTCACTCATCATAATCATCATCATTGTTATTATTAAATTTTGTTAGAGAAAACATTGATGGCTTGTGCATTTATGCTCTTACAGGACACATACAGAGCACTGGTGAATGACTAATGAAAATATTGAAAAACTGGTTCATTTTGCATGTATCTAAGATATCCATTGATTTTACAAACTCTCCAAATAAATGTCCCTGAGTTAGAAATTGAAATGGAAATCATGTAAGACTGGTTTTTATCATTTCTCTAGACTTCCTGATTTTATATGTACTAAGAGAAGAGCAAGAATAGCTTGTGATATTGCACTAGTTCCACTTTCAGTCCTGTTTTAAAAACAGGAAGCAGTGATGAGAATGCACTTTGTAAGAGCCACGCAAACTCTG